GATGCATGGGAAATGGTGCAAGGTCTGCTGATGCATTGGGACGGCAAATCCCAGCGACATCGGCTGGTGGTCCCTTCTGGGTTGCGAGGCAAGGTGGTGTGGGCCGCGCATGAGCGCCTATTACACCTGGGGACGCAAAAGACTCTTGCACTGCTACAACTTGATTTTTTTTGGCCTGGCATGACGAGGGATGTTGGGGATCTATTGGGATCATGCCCTCGGTGTGCGCAACGGAAACCGCCGGCGCGGGAGTCTAACCCGCCCTTGCAATCGATCAAAGTGTCCAGAATAAATGAGCTTGTCGCGCTGGACATTTTGGGCCCATTTCCCGCCACCCCCAGGGGCAATAGGTATTTGTTGACTGGTGTCGAGTATTTTACACGCTGGCCTATGGCCTGGCCCCTGGCCAACCAGTCGGCAGCAGCCATCGTGGAGGCCTTTGTTCAGGGATACGTCCTGGACAAAGGTGCTCCGGAGCGGCTGCTGACCGACCAGGGCAGAAATTTTTCCGGTAAATTACTCAAACAAGTCTGTGACCTCCTAGGCACGAAGAAAATTCGTACCTCCCCGTATCACCCGCAAACTGACGGGATGGTCGAGCGCCTGCATCGCACCATTACGTCAATGATGTCACAGCAGGTCTCGGACTCACAGACTGACTGGGACCTGCATATTCAAGGGGTCTTGGCGGCATACCGGATGGCACCCCATGCAGCTACGGGATTTTCCCCCTTTTACCTCATGTACGGTCGCGAACCCGACCCGCCTGTTCGCGCCCAGCTGCAGATCCCCGAGCCGCAAGGGAAAACTAAATTGGCTGACCACGTCAAATTTAATCTGGCCAAATTAACAGAGGCGCGGGATGCTGCAATGCTAAACTCGGACCTCCGTCAAAAGGCGAATGAGCGCCTCAGGCTGGGTCGGGCGCACATGATACAGTGGAAGCCGGGGGACAAGGCATGGCTGCACTGTCCCCAAGTGCCACTGGCTACCTCCTCTAAGCTGGTGCGGCCGTGGCGGGGCCCTGTGGAGGTGGTCGAAGTTTTGCGACCACAGTGCGTGCGCATTAAATGGGGGAAGCGGCGATGGTTCGTGCACCCCTCTAGGTTAAAACCCTTCGTTGCGGTACACAAACCCACTTCACACATGCGTGGCCAAACGTGTGGGGGGTCGACCGACTCATTGGGTCCGTCTCCGTCGTTCTCACCTAATGCCTTGCCGGCCGTGCCACCTCCAGGTGCATCAGGACTGACGGGCTCACGCTCGACCACCCCTCCTGGGGATACCGACGGTCGCGCGGCATCGGATGAGGACTCACTCCGGGACGGACAATTGCCACCTGACGGTCCGCCACCCGGGGTTACCCCGTGTGAGGGGCCCGCTGCAAGGACGCGCGCAAAAATGCGCAGACTGTTATGAGGCCGGAAGATGTGTACATAGGTTGTGTTCATCGTGTGTTGTGTGGGTGGTGTGTTCCCTGCCCATTGAATGTACATATGTTGGGTTCATTGTGTGTTGTGTGGGTGGTGTGTTCCCTGCCCATTGAAATGTACATACGTTGGGTTCACCTGGTGTTGTGTGTATGGTGGGTTCCCTGCAAATTGTATATAGGTTGTTTTTTTTTACGGAATTCGTATTTATTCAAGGGGGTTGCGTCGGGTTGTTTTCTCTTTTTGCTGTTGCATTTTGTTGTGTTCTTGTTGCTGTTCTTGTTATTGTTGAAAAATAGTGAGGCACACGCGCGGTCAAGGTGTAAATGCACTTTTATTGTCATTTTTGTATGTTGGCAGCCGGGACGGCTGCAAACTATGCGGGGGGGGGTGATGTAGGGGTGTTAAAGAGAGGGCCCGTTATGCATGGCAGCCTATGGAAAACAAACACAGTGGGCGGGGCTACGTAAGTGCACGAGGAGGTGCCCTCTACGACGTCCGAGCCAGACACCCTGGGGGGGGCTGGTTCGAACGTTATGATCCCCCGGGGCCCCACCCCTCAGGGAGGGGTTGGGTATAAAAGGGGATGTTCAAAGGGCTCGAGTCAGTTATGTTTAAGCTAAGGGAAGAAGACTGAAGACGTCTTAGATAGAGCCCTGGACTCCCCTAGTTCGATGTCCTTTTCAGGGCCGGACAGGACTGAGCCAGCGGCGTGGTCCCGAAAGCCAGAGCCGGTGCTCTTGTAAGAGCTGGTCTGGAACTCCGGGTACCGGGCCCGACTTACCAGTGTCGGGCCAGTTAGCCTCCCCTAGCCCATTAGTGGAGGATTCGGGGCTAGGACAGAGTTAGCTAGGGGTGTATCCCGAGTTATACGGGTGAGGGGGCCGATACCCCCTCGAGTGTGTATATGCCCACTGTCGTATTGTGAAATAAATATACGTGTGCCTCAACCTCGGCGTCAAGCGTCTTCACCGGTACTTCAAAAGTATGGAAATCAGCCTGTAGGACATTGCTTGATTTAGGTCTTTGCCGGGTTTTGGAAGTGAGATTATTGTCGATAATTTCCAGTTGGCCGGAATGAAGTTGCAATGGAGTGAGGCGTTAAGGTTGGAGGCGAGGAACTTTATGCCAAGGGGGACGAGGTGTTTGAGGTGGGGGCATAGCTATGTCATCGGAGCCAATTGCGGAATAATTTTTGGCTTTTTAATAGCTAATTTCACCTCTACAAGGCTAAATTTGGGGGTGTCGTGTAGAGGATGTTCCTTGATTTGATGGATTTTTTGACGGGTGGATTTATTGGAAGAGTGTGGGACGACTGATGAGAAAAGTTTGTTGAAGTGGTTGGCGATGTTATTGTTGTTTATGACGGATTTGTTGTTGAAATTGATTGCGCAATTGGGTGGCGGTTTGTAGTGTTCGTCTAAGGCTTTGATGGTCTTCCAAAGGTTTTCTGAGTTTTGGCGGTGGTCAAAAGATTAAACAAACTCGTGCCAGCGTTCTGTTTTGGCTCGATTGATTAGCTTTGTGATTTCAATATTGAAGGCTGGGATTTGTGGTGAAGTAGGATTTTTTGTCCTAATAATGTTTCGTTGGTTTATTAGCATTGAGGCTTCTTTAGGGAGGCAGGGAAAGGTGTTGCTTGTAGCAATCCGCCGGGATGGTGTGCTTGGTGGTAGTTGCGATGATGTTTCTAAAATCTTTTCAGAGTTATGTGCAGATGTGTGGATATTGTTGATGTCGGCGAATAATGCTTCTGATTCTGAAGTAAAAAGTGGCCAGTTGGCTTTTTTAAATTTGTAATACAAGCGGTTTTTAGGCGTTTGTAAAGGCTTGGTGGCAATGAGGGTCAACACAATAGGTAGGTGGTTTTGATCCAAGGGCCATAAAGACTTGCCAGTCGATTTATGAAAGGTTTCCTGACAGTATTGAGATATCTGGTGAGGATGAAGGGCCAGATGACGGAACTCTGGTTTCATTATTTTCATTGAGTACCCCATAGGGGGAGCCGTTCAAGATATCGGCAATGAGGTCGCCACATGCATCTGAAAGGGAAGAGTGCCAAAGTTTGTTGTGGGCGTTGAAATCTCCAATAACAATTGAGTCGTTGTTTGGTAAAAGTCGATATATATTGAACTGATAGTTGTGAGGGTAAGAACTGGTCGGTGGGATGTAGACGTTGATTATAGTGAGTGGGCCTAGATGGGATTTGATACAGATGCTTAAGACTTCTGTGGTGATATCAGAAGGAGGCATTGGGATTTTAATTTATTCACATTGAATGCTGTTATGGATGAGGAAAGCTAGACCGCCACCATCTGTTGGTCGGTCTCGATGGAGGAAAGTGAAATTTTGAAAGTTGGGCGGGTGAGAAATGGATTTAAATTTTGTTTCTTGGATGGCGGCTATATTAATGGAGTTTTGTTGTTGGAAGGTGCTGAGTTCAAGAGATTTGTTGTTGATGCCGTTGATGTTTAGTTGAAGGATTTTTAGGTCGTTTTTGTTGTGGACGTTTTGTTGTGGTTGAAACGGTGGTTGCAATGGATGAGGTGGTGGTGCTAGTGTGGTTGTGCAAAGTGGAGTTGTTCAAGTGGATGATGTACAATATTTGCAGAACCAGCCAGAATTTGAACTGGGGATGCAGGCTAAAGTAGTGCAGCGTTTGTGATACCAAGCTTTACAACCGTTGCATGGGATAGAATTTGCATTGACGTTCTTGCCGCAGCCACCACAAGGGAAAAACGGGCCTGGATTCAATTCGACGTCCCCAGCAATAATGAGAAGCCAGCTCCAGTATGCCGGCAGGCCTGGGCTGGTTGGCGAAAAAACAGGAAAGTGCGAGGGGTGATGTTGCCATTTGCAAGTGCTTTCGTAGTATTTGGTCTCTCCACTTCGAACAAGCGGCAACACTAGGGGTAGTGATAGGGGTTGGGGTAGCGGTAGGGATTGAGGTAGTGATAGGGCTAGTAGTAGTGATAGGGGTGGTGATAGCGGTTGAGGTAGTGATAGGGGTTGGGGTAGTGATAGGGGTTGGGGTAGGAATGGAAGCCAGTTATAATGAAGATGATTGAATAATTTCGAGAAGCTCTGTGGAGTTGGTGAGATGAGGTGGTGCGAGTGGGGAGAGCAGAAGTGTCATCGGGTTGCTCGTGAGTCTTGTGGAAAGCCAGAGTGTCAGAGTTTCTTCAGCTGCACGATTCATCTGAGCAATCACTGCTCTCCTCCTCACTGGCTAACAACAAGAATTGTTGCGTATTAACTATGTTAAATCAGGCAACTGGAGAGCAGCACAAACTAAGTATTTCTAACCTAGCATTAACGTATTTAAGAATCACAGTTAAGAGACAAACAACTTTTTACATATATACAATGAAGAAGAATAGTTTACACAGCCCAATTCAGGCTCTCCTGTGAAAAACATCCTCTGCTCTATCTTGCGTAGAGGTTGTTAAAGCATCTTGTTTAATACTCTGTTTTGGATCGGAACTCATTGCTTAAATCTGCATTCGTCAGCTACGAATGTCTATGGAAGCTCCCCTCCCCTTCCCCTCCATCTCCATCCCTCCACCATAGCCGAATCTGGGATGCTGAAGAAGACCTGCGCTGAGCAGATGCCTGGCCTCTGCTCGCTCGGAACATTTCTGCAGGACAAGGAGACTGCATTCCAGGAGTTTGTCAAGCGCTTCCTGTGGTGAGTCTCCTACTCACTGAACTTCCCTTCAGCAACTCCAACAGAGTCCCCTTCATTATTAATACAAATGGCGGGGGGGGGGGGGGGGGGTGGGCAGAAGGTGGTACTGCTGATACAATGAAACTATTAAAAACGAAACTATTAAACTATTTTATTTACCAGGTAAGACCAACTGAGCTATATAGCTCTTTTTGAGAAGTGACCTGGCTATCACAAATGAATACTCAACAAAGTGGCTTGTGTGGACATTTATAGCAGCCAAATACTCTAAACACATGTTGATTCTAAATGTTTTAGGGAGAAACCAGAGGACCCGGATAAAAATCTACGCAACCATGGTGGAAAACATTCAAACTCCAAATATACAACCGTCCGGTTCAGGATCGAACCAACAACCTCCTGAATACTAGGCGAGAGAGTTAATATTTCGCCACAGGTACTGCCAGAGGGCGGTACTACAATTGGGGAGAGCAGTTGGGGTTATTACCACTGGCAGCAGACTAATGCCCATACACTCACACAGAGACACATTTACCCACATAGACATATGTAGTGTCGTTTGCACGTGCGTCGCACACACCGTCAGCCGAAGACGAGGTGATCGCAGGAGGCACCGCTCTGCCCTGTTTATTCGTTGTTGCTGAGCTCAAGCTACCACCTCGGGCCCCCTCTCTCTCACACACGACCTCGCTACCGCGCACCCCATCCCAAACACGACCCTGTCCGCATTGCACTGACGGCGTCGACCGGGACAGCCAACTACTGTCCGGCCACGCAATGATCAGGTGAAGGTGGCAGCGACGTGGGCGACGACGACGACAGCAACGGCGAGACGAGTCCAATCCCAGAACCGGCAGCCCAGAGCTCTCGCTCTCCGCAGCTTTTATTCTCCTCGGCACGGCTTGGCTCCGCCATAGCCGCGCCTCCCTTTTTGAACCCTCTAGAGGTATCCAGGGACTTCCACACGGGGTCTATCATGACCCTTGCCCCAGTTCCTCCTCCCTGCCGGCACACCCGCGTATATGCTCAGCGGCGTGTGCGCTAAGTGCCCACCTGCAGTTGCTGCTGCTGTCCAACAGTCAGCGCTATGTCACTACACATACATCACCATCATCATGGCTTGGCTTCGCGAACGAAGATCTAGGAAGGACATCCATGTCTTCTGCAGGCACGCTGGTGGCTGACGAGGCCTATGCCGGACAAGCAGGTCCTGCCACAACGGCTGCAAGTATAGGTCTGATCTGGGATGGGTACTGAGGGATCATAGTTCTTCCTCCTCCTTTTGTCCTCCATACGGGCCCTGCGGGTATCTTCGAAGAGGGAGGTGGCCTGGTGGACTGTGTGCCGCCAGGAGTTGCAATCAGCTGCTTGTGTTGCCCACTGACGGTGATCGATGCAGCAAGCAGTGAGGGACTTCTTCAGGGAGTCTTTGTATCGCTTTCGTGGTGCCCCTATGTCGCGATGGCCAGAGGACAGTTCCCCATACAGCACAATCTTAGGTAAGCGGTGGTTCTCCATCTTGGCGATGTGACCTGCCCAACGAAGCTGTATCTTGAGGACCATGGCCTCGATGCTGATGACCTCCGCTGACTCGAGGACTTCAGTGTTGGCGACGAAGTCACTCCAGTGAATATTGAAGATTGTGCAGAGGCAGCGCTAATGGAAACGCTCGAGGAGACTCAGGTGATGACGGTACGTGACTCAGGACTCAGTGCCAAACAGGAGAGTGGTCAGCACAACAGCTTTGTAGACGTTGACCTTCGTGTCTCTTTTAAGGTTGCCGTGTGTTCCAAACACGATTGTATAGTCTGCCGAATGCACTGTTTGCCTTGGCCAGCCTGTTGTCGACTTCGCTGTCGATCTTGGCGTTAAAGGAGATCACGCACCCCAAGTAACTGAACTGGTGGACAGCTTTCAGTTCTGTTTGTTCAATGAAGATGCTTGGTGGATGGTGCTCCTCATGGGGTGCAGGCTGATGAAGAACTTCAGTCTTCCTCAGGTTGACTTCAAGACCGAAGATCTGAGCAGTATTCGCGAAACAGGACGTCATTCGCTGCATAGCTGCCTCTGTGTGAGCAAGGAGGGCGGCATCATCAGCAAACAGCAGCTCCCTGATCAGTTGCTCCATGTTCTTTGTGTGGGCCTGCAAACGCCTGAGGTTGAAGACACTCCCGTCGGGACGAAAACGGATGTATACGCCATCAGCGTCGTCGAGGTCCTCTGTGGCCTGCTGGAGCATCATGCTGAACAAAATGGTGAACAGCGTGGGAGCAAGAACACAGCCCTGGCAGTAGGTTTTTACCCTTTTAAACTGGTACAAAACTGACACCTTTATTCAAGGCATCATGTTGGACGATCATGGTGAGGAACTTCGGTGGGCAGCCTAGCTTTTCCAGGATTTTCCAAAGTCCCTGCCTGCTCACGGTGTCAAACGCTTTTGTCAGGTTCACAAAGGTGACGTACAGCGCTTTGGTTTGCTCCCGGCACTTCTCCTGAATCTGTCTCAGGACAAACACCATGTCTGTGGTTCCCCGGTTGGCTCTGAAGCCACACTGGGTCTCTGGGAGGTGATATTCAGCTATTGCGGGTACCAGTCTATTCAGTAGTGAGGATTTTGCCAGCGACGGACAGAAGTGTTATGCAACGATAATTGGAACAGTCTGATTTCTCCCCTTTTGTTCTTTACAGGGTGATGATTGCATCTTTGAGGTCTTGAGGGAGTTTACCCTGCTCCCAGCAGCAGACAAATAATTCATGGAGTTTGGTGTGCAGTGCTGGGCATCCGTTCTTCCATACTTCAGGAGGGATGCCATCAACTCCTGCAGCTTTACCACTCTTCAGCTGTTTAATGGCTTCCTCAGTCTCTTGTAATGTTGGTCCCACATCCAGTTCGGTTTTCACTGGTTGTTGTGGGATGCGGTCAATCGCTGGTTCTTGGACTGAGCGGCTAGCATTGAAGAGCATGTAGAAGTGCTCAGACCAGCGGTTCAGGATTGAGTCCTTTTTGGTGAGCAGTTCTTTCCCGTCTGCACTCCGCAGGGGGTTCAGGATTTTGGTACGAGGGGCCATATACCGCTTTTAGAGCTTCGTAGAATCCCCTGTAGTCGCCGGTATCAGCGCAAACCTGAGTTTTTACTGCGAGGTTGGTCCACCACTCGTTTTAAATTTCTCGAAGCTTGCGCTGGAGGGTGCTGCATTCCAGGCGGAAGGCTGCTTTTTTGTGCGGGCAGGATGGTTGGGCCAGGTGGGCCTGGTGTGCTGATCTCTTCTTTGACAGCAGCTCCTGGACTTCTAATTTGTTCTCATCGAACCAATCTCTGTTTTTCTTCGTGGAGAATCCGAGGGTATCTTCAGATGTTTGCAGAACAACAGTTTTGATGCTGGTCCCACAGCACTTCAGGAACCGGAGGCGAGTCTGCTAGGCAGCTCGGTTCCTCTAGCCTAGACCGTAGGCTTTTCTGGAAAAGCTGCTTTGACCACGGCAGACTGAAGGCTGCAGACTTTGAGCTTCTTCCTGGTCTGGGCTTAAAGTGGAAGCTGAGTTTGCAGCGGACAAGAAGGTGGTCTATGTGACACTCAGCGCTGGGCATTACCCTGGTGTGAAAGACATCTTTTACGTCACGCTGGCGCACTAGGATGGTGTCTATGAGATGCCAATGTTTTGACCGAGGGTGCATCCAGGTTGTCTTTAGACTGTCTTTCTGCTGGAAGATGGTGTTGGTAATGGAAAGCTGCTGTTCCGCGCAGAGTTCAAGTAACAAGCGTCCATTGTCGTTGCAGCTGCCCACGCCGTGCCTTCCAAGTACGCCTTTCCAGGTTTCCGAGTCTCTGCCCACTCTGGCGTTGAAGTCGCCAAGGATGACAATCTTGTCATCAGCTGGGATATCCTGCAGAAGGCTGCGTAGGTCTGAGTAAAACTTGTGTTTGTCAGCGGGATCTGCCTGGAGAGTTGGAGCGTACACACTGAGCAGTGTTGCAGGTCACGAAGTGGTAGACGCATTGAGATGATGCGGTCAGAGTGGCCAGTTGGCAGGCTTGCAAGCTTCGTAGCGATAGAGTCCCTGATCATGAAGCCGACACCTGAACGGCGTCTCTCTGTCGCTGGTTTGCGTGACCAGTAGAGAGTGTAACCTGCGCCATGCTCCCTCAGACTGCCTTCCTCTGAAAAGCAGATTTCGCTGAGGGCGGCGATGTCAACATCCAGCCGAGTGAGTTCGTGTGCAATTAAAGCAGATTGTCGCTCAGGTCGAGTGCTGTCAGCTGAGTCTAGCATGGTTCTGATGTTCCAGCATGCGAGTTTGAGTCCTTTCCCACCTTTTAAGGTGAGTGGGATGCGCCGTTGATTCTTTGATATAGTTCGACCGCGTATGAAGATGCCCGTTGACCGCAGTAAGCCAACTAAGAGAGGAGGAGACGAGCTTTGTTTAGGCCACCTTTTCTAGGCCCCTCTCCATGTGAAGCAAGCAGTGCTGTCCCTAGAAAAGGCTGCTTGGTCGCTCAGGGTGCTGCCGGGTGATGATGTCGTCTCCAGGTCATCATCAGACGACCACTAGCGCCTGAGCCGCCTGCATGCAGGATTGAGACTGCGGCTGCCAGTGTCATCTTACACCTGCCGAGTTCGCCCCTTTCCCATCACTACAGGACTTAGTGAGACCGGGGGGGGGGGGGGAGTAGACGCGAAGATTTCCTTCTTGCCTGCGCAAAGGAGCTTTCAAGTGGAGTGCAGTGTGCGCAGAACTGACCCCACCCTTTAAACCCGGGGTTCGTCTGCCATGGCCTAGCAAGCTGGGACGGTGACAGCGAGGTCCTCAGGCCGTAGGTTTTACATCAGAGTTTCCTTCTCCTAGGTAGACGGCTTTCCAAGGCTGAAGAGATCCACCTTCCCTGCTATTTCAAACCATAGCTGGTAGGCCACAGCCGCAGTCCACAGTAACGAAGTGGTGCGCCTTGGTCCCGAACACTTGGCCATTGGGTCCTAACGAGACCCTTCCGCCCTGGCCGGTGATTCCGTCGTGGGAGTTCATTCGCCCAGCGATGCAGTGTTGACATCACCCCCTCACGTCGTTTAGCCTGCCAGCTGAAGCGGTTTACCGGGGTGTGGCACTAGGAGCCAGACATGAGAGATTTAGGAGATGGATGAGGACCAGTGTTTCCGTCCACTCAAAAATTGAGTGCAGCTACCAGAAAACAAAGGTACTACCTCTACCGAGAGCTCCCTGCACCCCAACTACACATGCATAGAGATATATAGACTCACGTAGAGACACCGAGATTCATGTAAAGATAGACTCACATAGACTCTTATAGACTCACATACAGATACCTAGACTCACATGGAGCTACATAGAGACTCATCGACTCACATGGCAATCATCGCTCCCAACTGGCAGCAGACTCCTGCCCCCTGGTCACTCTTGCAAATTCATCTCCAATCCTGTTATCTTTAGTTCTCACCCTACATTGTTAAACATAATTACCCTATGGCATTAGGGCAACCCTGTATAATAACCCTGTGTGTCCTGACGTTTGGGCCACCCTGTATAACAAATTCTTTGCGTTCTGACTTTTATACCTCCCTGTATGACAACCCTACGTGTCTTGATTTCCGGCCACCCTATATAATAAACCTTTTGGGTCCTGAATTTTGGGCCACCCTATATAATAACCCTATGGATTCTGACTTTTGGGCCACCCTGAATAACCCTAAGTGTCCTGACCTTTGGGCCACCCAGTATAACAACCCTGTGTTCTGAATTTTGGGCCACCCTGTGCAATAACGCTATGGGTCCTGATTTTTGCACCACCCTGTATATTATCCATATGGCTCGTGACTTATGGGCCACCCTGTATAACAACACTATGTGTCCTGACTTTTGGTACACCCTGAATAATAACCCCATGTATTCTGACTTTGCACCACCCTGTATAACAACCCTGTGTGTCCTGACTTTTGGGCCACCCTGCATAACAACACGATTTCTGCTGACTTTTGGTGCACCCTGTATAATAACCCCATGTATTCTAACTTTTGGGCTACCCTGTATAACATCCCTATGTGCTCTGACTTTTGGGCCACCATGTAAAATAACCTTGTCCCTATTTTTTGGCCACCCGATATAACAACCCTGTGTTCTGACTCTTGGGCCACCCTGTATAACAACCCTGTGTTCTGACTCTTGGGCCACCCTGTACAATAACGCTATGGGTCCTTACTTTTGGGCCACCCTGAAAACAACCCTACCTGTCCTGAATTTTGGGCCACCCTGTATAACATCCCTATGTGTTTTGACTTTTGGGCAGCAACAGCAGACGTACCTGTGTGTCCATCTGTCTTGGTTGACAAACATTCTGCTTGGTGATGAAACCAGAAAAGGCTTTATCCTTTCCGGAAAGAATTCATGAGGTGTTAAGATGCACAGACGCTAAAAGACACCGATAATTATCACTATGAGGCATCATCATGTCTGAAATAACAATGCATCATAATGCTTGTGGTAAAACACACTCTGGTAACAATGTATACACCAGAGCTACAGCCTCGTACAGTGGGGGAAAACGTATTTTATTCCCTGCTGATTTTGTACGTTTGCACACTGACAAAGAAATGATCAGTCTATAATTTTAATGGTAGGTTTATTTGAACAGTGAGAGACAGAATAACAACGAAATCCAGAATAACGCATGTCAAAAATGTTATAAATTGATTTGCATTTTAATGAGGGAAATATGTATTTGACCCCTCTGCAAAACATGACTTAGTACCTGGTGGCAAAACCCTTGTTGGCAATCACCAGAGGTCAGGCGTTTCTTGTAGTTGGCCACCAGGTTTGCACACATCTCTGGAGGGATTTTGTCCCACTCCTCTTTGCAGATCTTCTCCAAGTCATTAAGGTTTCGAGGTGGACGTTTGGCAACTCGAACCTTCAGCTCCCTCCACAGATTTTCTATGGTATTAAGGTCTGGAGACTGGCTAGGCCACTCCAGGACCTTAATGTGCTTCTTCTTGAGCCACTCCTTTGTTGCCTTGGCCGTGTGTTTTGGGTCATTGTCATGCTGGAATACCCATCCACGACCCATTTTCAATGCCCTGGCTGAGGGAAGTAGGTTCTCACCCAATATTTGACGGTACATGGCCCCGTCCATCGTCCATTTGATGCGGTGAAGTTGTCCTGTCCCCTTAGCAGAAAATACCCCCAAAGCATAATGTTTCCACCTCCATGTTTGACAGTGGGGATGGTGTTCTTGGAGTCATAGGCAGCATTCCTCCTCCTCCAAACACGGCGAGTTGAGTTGATGCTAAAGAGCTCCATTTTGGTCTCATCTGACCACAACACTTTCACCCAGTTGTCCTCTGAATCATTCAGATGTTCATTGGTAAACTTCAGACGCGCATGTATATGTGCTTTCTTGAGCAGGGGGACCTTGCGGGCGCTGCAGGATTTCAGTCCTTCACGGCGTAGTGTGTTACCAACTTTTTTCTTGGTGACTGTGGTCCCAGCTGCCTTGAGATCATTGACAAGATTCTCCCGTGTAGTTCTGGGCTGATTCCTCACCGTTTTCATGATCATTGCAACTCCACGAGGTGAGATCTTGCATGGAGCCCCAGGCCGAGAGAGATTGACAGTTCTTTTGTGTTTCTTCCATTTGCAAATAATCGCACCAACTGTTGTCACCTTCTCACCAAGCTGCTTGACGATGGTCTTGTAGCCCATTTCAGCCTTGTGTATATCTACAATCTTGTCCTTGACATCCTTGGAGAGCTCTTTGGTCTTGGCCATGGTGGAGAGTTTGGAATTTGATTGATTGATTGCTTCTGTGAACAGGTGTCTTTTATACAGGTAACAAGCTGAGATTAGGAGCACTCCCTTTAAGAGTGTGCTCCTAATATCAGCTCGTTACCTGTATAAAAGACACCTGGGAGCCATACATCTTTCTGATTGAGAGGGGGTCAAATACTCATTTCCCTCATTAAAATGCAAATCAATTTATAGGATTTTTGACATTCATTTTTCTGGATTTTGTTGTTATTCTGTCTCTCACTGTTCAAATAAACCTAACATTAAAATGATAGACTGATCATTTCTTTGTCAGTGGGCAAACTTACAAAATCAGCAGGGGATCAAATACTTTTTTCCCTCACTGTATGTATGGCCTTGTCTCACCAGTGTTAGACCAGAGAACAATGACAAAAGACAAAGGTAATGCCAATATCAAAGCATTAATAGCTTATATCTATAAGTATCAAGACTTGATGCCTTATTTATTTGGTGTTTAAACATCTCAACACCTGTATTGCCTTTTTATTATGTTTTCATCATCTTGATACCAGCAAATTAGCATCCCACAGAAATGTCTTGTCGGTGTCACTGCACTTCGTTCATCTCGTTTGTTTAGTTGGAGCCCGGACGAGAGAATTACTCCACACGATGCTCTCCTGCACCCCTGGATGACTTCGGAGGAGACAGCAGCAGCAGCTGCCAACTCTCCCGCTGCCCTCGCCCCGAAAGCGATTACAGAAGCCGAACTTCCAGGACCGGGTGTCTCATCCGACTGCCGGAAAAGACCGCCTTCCTCCAAGAGCGAGGATAAGGCCCGTCGGAAGAAGTCCAGCAAGGTAGAACCATCACCACCATCGCCATCACCACCAGCAGCGGCGGCGGTGACCTCAAATGCTGTTCTGGCGGCCGTCATCAGCCCCCGCTCAGCGACAGCCACGGTTAGGGACACTGCCCCGCCGCGGCCGGCGGTTGAGAGGCGGGAGATGTCCCCGGCGCCGGATCCGGGAGCTGTCCCCGTGACCCCCTTGCCGGCCAAGCTACTCCACCCCTACCGGGAGACGGCCGGATCCGGCTCCTGCCGAGCCGAGCCAGGCCACGCGGAGGGAGCGGCCGCCTCCGCTGCCGAGGTGGGCAGTGGGTGGCAGGGCCGGGTGACTGACGTAGGAGAGGAGCCGCCAGCTGCGGTGGGCACATTCTTCGGACGTCTCTTCTGCTGCTCCTGCTGCTACCACTACGGAGACTATGAATAGAGCGCGGGGCCCTGCCTGTAGAACCGACCACCACCAGCGCCTTCACTCATGGCACTCTATGACATGGTTTAACACAACAAAAAGGGTGACAGTGTAGAATTATTTAGGTGGCAGGGGCGTGCGAAGTATCGAGGAATGAGCGACTGCGAAAGAGGGTGAAGGAGGGGTAAGGAAAGGGGAAGGGGGATGGAAGAGAAAAGGTGAACTTGAGAGGAGCAGAAGGAGGTTAAGAAGGAGGACTGCTCACAGAAGGACTAGGAATGGGATTGGGCACAGAGAAGGACCGGGAGAGGAACTCTCTCTTCCACCACACACACACAGCAGCCGCATTCAAGCACAATCGCCTTGCGTGAGGGAGCAACGCTCTATCCCGCACGTGCAGACGGACACAGATGGCGATCAGTCTGCTCGCTGTCCCCTCTTCATCCGGACAGTGGTGGCTGTGGCTGCACGTGGCTGCCCGTGGAACCAGCGCTCTGGAGGCGAGGGTCGTGGATCGCTCAGAGGAAATGCTGGGGGAACTGTCTTCCCCGTGGGTGGGTGTCAAGAAAGGGCCGTACCCCCTGGCTCTGCCAGGAGAAGGCGGTTCAGCAGGAACGTGAACTCCAGCTGCTGTTTCTGTACGATGGGATGAAGTGCTGTTGCCATATCGTGCTCCCGCGTGCGTTTTCTCCGGGTACTGTTGGTTTCCTCCCTAACATATAATGAACACTCATTATTCGCTGGCCCGGACATCTTAATATAAAGGGGACTGCAGAGCTCGGGAAATTGTTGGTAGTGCTTGCTCCTCATTATCATGTGTCTGCTGCTGCTGATGGCTTCCCGATCTTCTGTGATTCTGCACTCCTGGGGCTTTCTGAGTTGTTCTCTTTCTGAGAGTGAGTGAACATTGTGTGGCATGGTACCTGTGTAATAAACGACTTCCACGACGACTCTGGACTGGTGTCTTTTAACAGAATGTCTGCACAGCTCCGCGCTGTCTCTCTCTCTGGGTAGTTCTCTTGCTCCCTCGTCCACTGCTGTGGTATGTCTCTCTCTCCTTCCGCGCTGCTGGCTGGCGGCGTGCCCGGAGAGTCGGCTTCACTGGAGGCTCGCCACGTGGTCGTTGGCGAGGAGAGGTAGAGCGGCGATGCAGTCCGGACCCGAGGCTTCCCACACCGACCACGAGTCCTCTCCTGCCTCTGCTTATATGCCCCCCGGTGGAGCTATGCTCCGCCTACGGCCACGCCCCCTCGTGGAATCCTCTAGATGGTTCTCGAATATTCCCCGTAGCTCCGCCCATTACCTTTGGCCTGGATTGAATCCGTACTCCAGATTGGACACCGGTTACCCAGCGGTGGCCATGCAAATGTCCCCTGTAACCCCCCAGGTGGCGCTCTCTCATTGCACCTGTAAACGTTGCATATGTATTGTACGTTGCTGTTCATGAGCGTGACCGATGTTTAGGCTGTCATGGAAGTTGAACCTCTGATAAAACCTTGTCGATATATCTATTACTCTTTCTCTTTATGAATTATATAGTTTCTTTGTATCCATCTTTCACAAACACGCTCCATTACAAATGCTACGTGTTAAGTGATTTCAGTGAATTGCGAAGCCATCCATTCATCCATCCATATTCTCACCAGCCAAGGGCTTAATGATAATATTTTTAAACGTTCAGAAGCCATCATACATTTGCAGAGAACCGGAATTGAAATTTTGCCATGACGAGTCGTGCTCCGTGAGGGCATCTCCAGGGTTAGTGTTGTAATCTCGCCCCTGGTTTACCATATCAATCCAGTCTCCCTGCAAGAAGAGCTGTGTGTGTTAGATCTAACTATCACAAACGAATTCAACTGTGAAGATTATGTGGAGTTATTTTTATCGTTTCAATTTCCATAGCTTGTCAGTCGTCTGAAGCGTCATTTAAAAGCGCGGCTACCCTGCCCATTAATCCTAGAGGGACTGCTTGGACACAAACAAGATGGACCACATCCCATGCTTAAGAGGTCTAAGAGCTCTCCAGAGTACAGCAGTCTCTGTGAATCTATTGGCTCTTTATGTGAATCCATCAGTGTCTATGTGAGTCTATAGGTCTCTGTGTGGGTCTATGAGTCTCTGCGAGTCTTTTTTGACCAGGTTGAGACCACCAAGTGCGCTATGCTTTATGAGTGGGGGATGATGCCAACCCCAGCTGCAAGCGATGATGAAATTCTCGCTTGCAACTTTCATCAGCTAACTAAGACCAGGCCTCTTTTGGTTGGAATGGGGTCCTGGGTGTACACCCACCACCGGAGTGGAAGAATGGCAGGCGCATCTTACAGATGACTAGTCGATGGTCAGAGGGCAGATCAGCTCCACGGTAGGTCCTGGTGTCAAGGACATGGGCTCGCATCCGCTGGTCCGTCACTATGTAGTCCAGCAGATGTTCTTGCTTGGACCCGGCATGCATCCATGATGTTGTGTGGATGCACCGATGCCGGAAGAGCGTGTTGGTAATTACAAGCCCATGGGCTGCACAAAAATCTAGCAGCCTCCTACCGTTGTTATTGAGCTGATCTGGCCCATGCCTTCAAATCACTCCAGACCAGGTGCCAGCATCATGACCAACTCGGGCATTGAAGTCACCCAACAAGATGACTCTGTCCCGAGTGGCCACTTTAGCCAGCACCTGTGACAGGAGGTCATAGAAGGCATCTGACTCATCAGCTTTGCCTGCATCCCTCCACAGATGTTCGTCTTCGGTGGGGGCATAAGTAACCACGACCACACACACATACACACAGTCATACACAGTCACCACACACCTACACGCAGCCACTACACACCTACACCCCTATGGAAGCCCCAGTGAGTAACACTGACCCCTTTGGGCGTCTGTCTGCTATGTGGTTCCCTGCTGTTTCTGTTTAATGAACCACAAGTTTGGACAGAAGGGCCATAGTCTGAAACGTCACCTATATATTTATATTTCGACAGTGTTGTTGAATGTATTGAGGTTGTTGTTGTTGGCCGTGCCTGTGCCCCATTGCCCACGTAGCACGGTAATACCTCGATAAGCAACCGTTATACGACATTTTCAGAACTAACTTCCGTATATTACCGTAATATTGGTGGTAAAGCAATTTAGTAACCGAACAAATCACGGTCCATGGGCAGGTGCCCACTGCACGTTTACGTAATTTTGTTGTTTCTACATTCCTCCGTCTTGTAGTGCCATTCTGGCTCAAGCAGCGGCCATATCTTCCTGGCACCAATCTCTGATGTGGTCGTCGTTATTGAGTCATTCTCTGTGTAGCTCTTTCTCTCCGACGGGCTCCTTCCATTTTTCCGAACGACGACGACGACTTAGTTGTTCCTGTTGTTGTCCATCCTACTACGACTAAATACATGTACTGAAATAAAATGCAATGTTTCTATGTACGGCACTATATAAAGAACAATACAATTGGGACCTTTTTGCCAGACACTGGTGAAACTGGGCCCTAAAGAAGCCTGTCTCCGGTGTAGGCCAATCAGTTTCAAAGGCAATGCAAATATATAATTATCAGAGCATTTTTGTTTCCATGGTCACCACAAGTATCGCGTGTGGTTAATGCAGTAACACTATTCCTTGCAAAAGGTTTCTATTTGGTGTTTTTTGCCGGAAAGAATAAAACCTATTCTTAGCTTTCCATAACAGTACAATTATAACGGATCAGAAAATGCGTGTTGACATTCGTCTCAACCAATCAGCGCACAGCTACGCACTACGTCACAGAGCGCTGGTGTGTGGTGCTTAAAAAAATAGTTGACACTTCTGAGAATTTGCAACAATACCACAGGCTCTGGAGACCACCTGGAGAAGATTCCATGCATGCGTTGACAATGATGGCGAACAAGTGGAGACTCTTTGACTTTCTGAAGCTATTAACATACATTTGTTATGTTACAGTGTATTATCCGTTATTTTTCTATTAAAAACTATATAGCTCATATAAGTGTTTACATTATTTTGAAGCACCCTGTATTTTACGGTCCACTATTTTTATTTTATCTAAGTCGTTCTTTTATTATTAACTAGCGGCAAGTACCCGGCGTTGCCCGGGTCCTAAAATATTTCAAAACTACTCTTAAAAATGTAACAGCAGTGCATACTGTGGTGGTACCTGCTTTCACTGCAGCAGTGCATACTGTGGTGGTACCTGCTATGATTACAGCAGTGCATATCGACTGTGGTGGTACCTGCTATCACTATAGTAGTACATGCTGACTCGAAAGCAGTATTTATGGACTGTATAGCACAAATTACTCACCTGACAGACAGAGTGGCGTGGTGAGGCCTACTCCCGTGCAGAGCCTCCGGCCTCGCCCAGATTGTCCAGCCGGCCGAGGTGGCACCTTGGCAGGCTGGGGCTGGGCTGCTAGCCCCCCCCCCCCCCAGCCACGATCTCCCCGGCCGCTCTGCAGTAATATCTACGGCCTATAGTGGTAGCATCTAGCGACTGTATAGTAGTAATAACTGCACGCATCGGGGTAGGGGGGGGGGAATTCACCTGAGCGTTTAGTGTATTTTTTAATAGCATTTTTAACGCGAGAAAATGTCCCCCTCACTCCCACCGAAGGTGTGCGACTTGGCATGGGCCGTTCCCCCCTACCAAAGGCGCGTGAGTTGGTATGATCGTGCACGCGTCATAAATAAATGAAAGCACGCAAACATTTTTGTTCACGAAAACCCCACCGTTGGAGAGCGACCACACACAAACCCACACACAACTTTTGACTTTTTTTATATATAGTGTACAGTATAAAATATTAATTCATATTCAATATAATTAGTCTTTGTTTACAATTTTAATCGTCAGATATGAAGTGTGTACAGTGTGAAATTGTAAGTTACGAAGGCTGGGAACGAATCCTCCCAGTGGTAATGTTATAAGTTGTCATAAGTTCAATATACGACGTTTCCATCAAAGGAGCTCCAGCAACGCACCTACTATCGAGGTTTTACTGCATTATCGAAATATTATGTAGAAATAGATTTGTAAGAAAACAAATTGTTTTATGTTACCAGGTAAGGCCCCGCTTGAGCTGTGCAGCTCTTGTTCAGAAGCGACCTGGCCATCACAGATGATAGCTCAACGAAGTGGCTTGTCATCATGTCGAAATGTATATCAGCCAAATACTCTAAACGCGTGACGTCGATTCTAAATGTGGAGGGGGAAAACTGGAGGAGACCCGGAGACAAATCCCCGCTACCACGGGGAAAGAGAGACACGCACGGAAACTCCAAATATACAGCAGCAGGCGTCAGGGTCGGGATCGAACCCACGGCCTCCTGTGTACTATGCGAGGTAGTTAACATCTCGCCACCACGGCGCACCAAATACCAGCAGGATAAGACTTTTTTTATCGCGCTATATAGTTTTTGTGTTCAACTAGGATCCATGTCTAACAGTGGACCCTTACATATAACATCTGGCAGTTCAATGCCATTAGTTTGAGCGAGCCTGACTCCACCGTGGAAATCTTTACAGAGTATGGCTTGTGTTAAATCAATGCTACTGACAAGGCTGTGTCGCTCACATGGTGTAAAGCACTTTGTATCGTTTGTGGCGAGACAGGTAAGTGAAGGAGGATGAGAGGTTGTGTTTTCTAAGTGCCGTAATGCAGTAGTGTAGATTGTGCACTTGTCCACGTCGCCGTGTATTGTGTAGTAGCTGTAGTACACATGCCTGTCCACCAGCAGGCGACACCACGAACCCCAAACCTGACAGAACCGAAGCCCTAAACTCGAACTCTGATAACCTCAAACCCTTACCCTGATAACCTCAAACCCTAACCATGCCCTAATCCAAACCATGCCCCTGACCATAATCCGAACCCGAACCTCGTACCCTGTTTTAGAATCCGTATTAATCCTGGAGCAATCGGATGAGCTATGAAGCTCTTTTTCAAAGATATCCACAAGGGACACGGGGTGAGCAAAGTTGCAAGAACCTCTAAGCCTATCAACTAACCATAACCCCTAACCATGATGGACGAGCTAAGTTTGTGTTGTGTTGTTAACTGGACTGGCTGGTGCACCACTGCAGCAGCAGCAGCAGCAGGGGTCGCGGTGGCAAGGAGATGTTAACTCCCTCGCCTGGTACACATGTCGTGGGTTTCGAACCCAACCTGATGCCTGCTGTATGTTTGAAGTTTGCGGTGTCTCCCTGTGGTCGCGTGGATTTTTCTCTGGGTCCTCCGATTTCCCCCTCCACGTTTAGAATCAATATCACGTGGTTTAAAGTATTTGGCTTCGATAAGCTCCCTCGTGATGATGATAATCCCACTTTACCGAGCTATCATTTGTGATGGGCAGGTCGCTTCTGAAAAAGATTTACGTAGCTCAGTGGATCCTTACCCAGGAGGTCGCGTGGCTGATGGGATGTGTAAAATAAAAAATGTCTGCAGACACAGGTACCATATGGAGGCATATTCTCTGATTGTCTCGTGAGACTTTTATTGATAAGAGTGCACGAGCCGCTGTGACGTGGTGCAGGCACGTGGCGGATAGCGAACAACAACAACGACACGGAGCAACAATAAAAACACGGAACAACAACAGCACGGAACAACACGGAACAACACAGAACAGCAACATCACAGAATAACACGAGAAAACACCAACAATACGGAAAAACAACAGCAGCACAGAAAAACAACAACATGGGACAACAGCACGGAACAACAGGAACAACAACAGCACGGAACAACACGGAAGGACAACATCACGGAACAACAACAACACGGAACAGCAACAACAACATCACGGAACAATAACACACGGAACAACAACATGGAACAATAGCAACAACATCAAGGAACAACAACACATAACAACAATAACACAGAACAGCAACACGGACCAACACAAACAACATGGAGAAACAACACTGAACAACCACAACACGGAACAATAACACAGAAGCACAGCAACAACACGGAACAACACCGAATAACAGCAACAATAGAACGCCAGCAATAACAGAACAACCGGAACAACAACACGGAACAACCGCAACAACAACACGGAACAACAGCAACAACACGGAACAACCGGAACAACAACACATAACATCAGCAACAACAACACGGAACAACCGGAACAATAACACAGAACATCAGCAACAACAACACGGAACAACAGCAACAACACGGAACAACAACAACACGGCACAATAGCAACAACACGGAACTACACTTCTTCTTTTCTACAGTTACATGCTAATCCTTCACATTAACATCACTATCCCCGGCCACTTCTTTATAACCCTTGAGGTACTCCCATTTCAAACCTTTTTAAAACAGTCTGCCTCAGCAGCAGACCATGCTTTTCCACCTGATGATGGACGCTTGTGTTGCGCCCGAAACGTGATTTATTTTATACCTACGTGACTTTACCGAAAGAACCAAAGAGTATGGATTCCTGCAGTCACGAAAGCTTCAAATCAACACGATAATTACTTAAAACAACACACACGAACACACACACACATCTTACTTCCGCATATATATTGAGAGAAGTGGGTGCTTAGACCGTGACCTCCCTGTGGATCTCAGGACACTAAGGACATGAACGCATAGCATCTAATCAGTGCAGCAGATAGCAATAATGAATGCCACATAACTCTCCATCATTCGCATCACCCCATCGACCACTCTCCATCACGTCCACGCTCTATCACCTCCATCGCTTCATCACACCCTCGATTGATCACATCCATCCCCATCACTCTCCATTCATCTCCCCTATCTTACTACCACAAATCGACATCATCCTCCATCTCTCCCATCACTCTCGATCATCCCATCTCCTATCACCATGACCCTCCATCACTCCTACCACCATGAGCCTCCATCACTCTCCATCACCCCCATCTCCCCCACCGCCGTCTATCTGTAGAAGGCGTCGATGCTCGCGTTGCGGAGTTCGCCCGCGCTCGCGAACTCGCGGTAGCGAAACCTCCGCATGGCCGCGCGGCATGCGCTCTGCACGGCGCGCGCCTCCTCGAAAGGGAGGCTTCGGCGCCACTTGCGCGCCACGGCGGGCGACTGCAAACTCACGACGTCGAACTCTCCCGCGCCGTCTCTCTGCCCATGCGTCATGACCTCGACCCAGGCCGCCACGGCGTCGGGCAGCTCGATGCCGGCAAAGCGGAACATCTCCCGCGTCGTCCTCGCGGGCTCGCTCACCAGGTCCTCGTAGCGCACCGCCATGTAGGCATCGCTCAGCCCCCCGTTGACTCCCGGTGTCCGCCCCTCCCGGCGATCTCCCTCGGCGGCGGCGGCGACGTCGTCGTTGCTCCGGCAGATCGCCTCCATTACGTCGACGTCGCGCGACGGGCGGCCGGCGTCGGCGCGGCCAAGCACCGCGCGGTCGTCCTCCTCGAGGCTGACGCGCGACAACTTGCGGCGCGACGCGAGGACGGCGCGCGGGTCCCGCACCAGGTGGATGATCCGGAGGCGCACGCCGGGGTCGGCCACGAGGGGGCGCAGGGCGCGCGCGTCGAAGAGCCGCACGCTCTTAACGACGGCGTGGCGGCTCCGCTCGCACGCGCGGCCGATCCCCGCGAAGGGCGCGGCGCTGCACCGCTGCTGGCACCCGTGGGCACCGCTCGCGTTGGCCGCGGTGGCGGCGGAGCACGCAGGGAGCCGACAGAGAGCCGCGCTGTGGTGGAAGAGGAAGAGGGAGCCGAGTCGGCGAGGCGGAGCGATGTAAAACTCCAGCACAGTCTCGTCGCAGGCGCACAGCGAGCGCAGGAGGTCGCGCGTGGCACCCCGCAGCGCCCGCTCGCCGCTCGTTGGCACGGCGGTCCACACGTGCTTCAAGGGCTCCATCAGGTAGAAGACTTCGGGGTGCTGGTTGAACACCTGGCCCAGGAAGGACGAGCCAGAGCGCCAGCTGGACAGGATGAGGGTGTTGGTCCGCTGCTGCTGCTGCGGCTGTTGTGGCGGCTGTGTGGGTGTGCTGCAAGCGCCCAGCAGCCGCCACGGAATGGTTCGTGCCAGGCCCGGCGTTTGGTAGAGCATGGAGACGATGGCGGCCAAGAGAGAGAGCGAGGAACCCTAGCAGCAGATGGCGACACGATGGGAACGCCATGGCGATAGCGCGAGAACAACAACCAGTCTTCTCCTAAACTCTCCCCTTAACTCTCTCGACCGAACCCTCGCTCTCTTCCCCCTCCTGCCCCTCCTATGTACTGCATCCTCTCCAGAACGCGCGCTCTCTCCCTCTCTCTCTCCGTCCCCTCCCCTCCCCTGCAGAGTTTCCCAGACAGCGGAAGATTACCTTGTCCTGCCCCCCCCCCGCCGCACCTTCGCTTAGCACGGTTGGCTACGCACGGTGCGAATGAGGTTCAACGTCAACACAATCTACGCGCTAACATCTCGATCTTGGCGCGCGCGGGGAGCGGGGAGGTGGCGTTGCTGGAGGCGCCGAGTCGCCAACCAGCAGAAGCAGCAGACTGTGTGATGTTGTTGGTGTTGTATGCAGGACACGTGTGGTATTATATAGCCTTTAACAAACTGTTGGGGCAAAAGTGCTGTTAGCGAGTAGCAGCACCTATTAAGGCCGGAACGGCAACACCAGAGGGTGGGTAGCCAGCACCACGCCCGGCCGCCTTTGTCTCCCGAGTGGCACATTTACACACCGCACCAGGTACTCATTTGAGGCTGAGTCGACCTAGGGGCGGAGGCCCAGGCAACAATTCAAATCATTTTCTTGGTTCTTTCGGTAAAGTCACGTAGAAGGGAAGTAATAAAATAATAAAAATAAAACATAATAAAATAATTCTCACGACGTTTCGGCCACAACGCAAGCAGCCGTCCTCAGGTGGAGAACAGGTCCGTCAAGTAGACAGAGTCTGAATGGCACGCTCCAGGCTTGGAGCGACTATTTATGCTGGGATGGAGGGGCGAAGAGCGTCTTGACAAAATAATTTGCATATCAAGAGAAATTTAGCATATTTATGGGAAATGCAGATATGCGATTAGCACTACTTGTGAAATACGTAGGAGGTTTGGCGAGGGGTTTAAAGTCATTATGCCCATGCATTATGCAGGATTAGCAGCATCAAAGGGAGGGAGCAAGGTCAGAATTAATAAAGGGAAGGAATGTTAATAATATGGCGCCGCAGCAACTAATATGCTTATTGACTATACCTTGTCATATTACACTATGTTTTATTCTACCCACTCAACTGTATAGCACACTGCTATGTATTCACTATAACATTACGATACTATATATTACCTTATACATTGTATTAAACATTACACTTTAATACTATTTATTATTATATAATATGCTATACACTATACCATAAACCGTCGCGTGAAAGGTACTAAGAGGAAGCAACGAAATATGTCAATGGGAGAATGGTGATAGGAAGCTTGCAGCGGGGCAAAGAATGCATTCCCTGCGGAGTGCATATCAAGAGGAATTTAGCATATTTATGGGAAATGCAGATATGCGATTAGGAGGATTGGCGAGGGGTTTAAAGTCATTATGCCCATGCATTATGCAGGATTAGCAGTATCAAAGGGAGGGAGTAAGGTTAGAATTAATAAAGGGAAAGAATGTTAATAATATGGCGCCGCAGCAACTAATATGTTTTTAGACTATAGATTGTAATATTACACTATGCATTATTCTACCCACCCAACTGTATACCACACTGCTGTATATTCACTATACAATTACGATACTATATATTACCTTATACATTGTATTAAACATTACACTTTAATACTATTTATCATTATACAATATCTTCTTGGTTCTTTCGGTAAAGTCACGTAGAAGGGAAGTAATAAAATAATAAAAATAAAACATAATAAAATAATTCTCACGACGTTTCGGCCACAACGCAAGCAGCCGTCCTCTTGCGTTGTGGCCGAAACGTCGTGAGAATTATTTTATTATGTTTTATTTTTATTATTTTATTACTTCCCTTCTACGTGACTTTACCGAAAGAACCAAGAAGATGAATTCCTGCAGTCACGAAAGCTTTAGATCGAAAATTATACAATATGCTATACACTATACCATTGACCGTCGCGTGAAAGGTACTAAGAGGAAGCAACGAAATATGTCAATGGGAGAGTGGTGATAGGAAGCTTGCAGCGGAGCAAAGAATCCATTCCCTGCGGAAAATACAGGATATATAGTTAATGTCAGTGAGTGGAACGCGGTCTGAAAGTCAACGTAAACGTGGACACAATCAGTTAAGATCCGAAATGGTTTATTACGTCCTTCCAATGATTGCTAAGCCGGAATCTCGGTTTTTATTATTTTATTACTTCCCTTCTACGTGACTTACTGGAAAAGCCAAGAAGATGAATCCCTGCAGTCACGAAAGCTTTAAATCAAAATTTAATTCAAATCATTGTCACCGGTGTTGGCGGTGAGCGGGAATCTAACTCGGGTCGCCGAGTTCACGCAGCGCAGCGCAGTTCCTGCAAACGGCAAAACAGCGATATCGCGGTCTATTCACTGGGACTCGCCTAACCTGTATGCCATTTATTCATACAGGTGCTGTACTTGGGTATTAACATTTTCTTATAATGTATACCAATATATAATATATAATAATGTACACCAATCTATAATCTATTACAATCACTGGCGGAGCCAGTGGGGGGGGACAGGGGGGTGGCACGTGCCCCCCCCAATGATCTTAAAAAAAAGTCTTAAAGTCACTTTATTGTCAAGTGTGTTACATGCATGACATACAACACAGATGAAATTACAGTCCTCTCTCTTGGTCCCACGGTGCAACCAAGCAATAAAAAAATTTATCACAATTAACAGACATAAATAAACAATAAACAATCGGCGATCAACACAAGATAAATAATCAAAAATGTAATAAACTTAAAATGAACAACAGTCAAGAATTTTTAAAATGTAAAATATTATTTAAATAAAGTATTTAAAGAAATAAGATATTTAAACCAGTGTGGTAGTGCGATGTAGTGCAATGTGCAGTCCAGAGATCAGGATGTACGAGTGAATGTGTGTGTGGGGGATGGGGTCAGGGGGCAAAGGGGGGTGGGTGGGCAGAGGGGGGGAGTGATGGTAGAGCAGGGAGGGAGTTGAGTCTCCTGACAGCCTGGTGAAAGAAACTGTCTTTGAGCCTGCTGGTCCTGGCTGGAAGACTCCGCAGTCTCCTCCCTGACGGCAGCAGGCTGAAGAGGCTGTGAGATGGGTGGGTGGGATCACCTGCAATCTTGATTGCTTTGCTGGTGATGCGGGTGTTATAAATGTCCAGAAGAGGGGGGAGAGAGACACCAATGATCCTCTCAGCTGCTCTCACTATGCGCTGCAGAGTCTTGCGGCAGGACACGGTGCAGGTGCCGTACCACACGGTGATGCAGCTCGTCAAGATGCTCTCAACGGTGCCTCTGTAGAAGGTGTGCATGATGGGGGGCGGGGCTCCTGCTCTTCTCAGTTTGCGGAGAAAATACAGGCGCTGTTGGGCTTTTTTGGCCAGTGATGCAGTGTTGTGACTCCACGACAGGTCTTCAGAGATGTGCACACCCAGGAACTTGGTGCATCTCACCCTCTCCACTGCAGCACCGTTGATGGTTAGCGGAGTATGCTGGGTGTGCACTCTC